GTTTCTGGCTTTTCTCTCCTCGCCAAACCTTTATATGAGGCTGCACAGGACGCGTCCGAGGGTCCCCTTTTGGCTCCACGGGCCATCCAGCAGGACTTCCAAAAACTTCGTGACACCCTACTGCGGTCCCCTCCTCTAAGCCTCCCTAATTCGGACAAGCCTTTCATCCTATACACCGACGAGTGGCAAGGGATTGCCCTTGGTGTACTCACCCAAGCCCCTGGCCCTACACATACCTCAGTGGCCTACCTCTCTAAACAGCTAGACACTACCGTCCATCGTTGGCCGCCCTGCCTCTGGACACTAGCATATGTGGCTGCCCTCACTTGGGAGGCCCTTAAGCTCACCCTGAGTCAGGATCTTTAGGTCTTCTCCACCCATTGTTTACAGGATCTTCTCACACACCACTCCCTAGCTCTTCTGACACCTTCCAGGATACAAGAATTCCACCTTTTGTTTGTCGAAAACCCCTCCATCTCTCTATCTCAGTCTCCTACCCTCAACCCGGCCACCCTGCTTCCCATCCCCCACTTAGCGCTGGCCTCTCACAGCTGCTCGGAAATGATTGAGGCCTCCACGGCCCCCAGGCTGGACCTGTCAGATCAGCCTCTACCCAATGCAGAACTCACCATTTGTGGATTGCAGCTCCAGCCAGGGGACTGATGGCAGGCCCCGCGCAGCCTATGCAATCGTCTCCACCTCCCAGACACTTGAGGCCAGCCGACTCCCCGCGGGCACCACTTCCCAAAGGGCTGAACTCATTGCCCTCACATGAGCACTACATCTGGCCAAGGGCAAGACTATCAACATATATACAGACTCTAAATATGCTTTTATGATAGCTCACTGTCATGCTGCATATGGCATGAGCGTGGATTTTTATCCACCCAGGGCTCCCCCATCATTAATGCATCTCTCATTTCTCATCTCTTAGATGCTCTCTTACTTCCCACACAACTCGCCATCATCCACTGCAGAGGACACCAGACAGACGACTCTGTCATTACGAAGGGAAACAACAGGGCCAACGCTGTTGCCCGAGGTTTGACCTCTGGTAACCAGCCGGCCCCTGCCCGTTCTTCTCCTCTCTATTGCTTCACTCCAAACACGTTACACATCAGGCGAACATGAAGCACTCCTCTCCCAGGATGGGTCCACCACCTCTGAGGGATGGATCATGGTCGACGGTAAATTAACCCTCCCAAAAATGCAGGCTAAAAACATCATTGAACAGGTCCACAGCTCCTTACATATCGGCACCAAAGGGCTAACACATTTCCTCCAGCCTCTTTTCTCTCTCCCCTCCAGCCTCTTTTCTCTCTCCCCTCCCTACACTCCCTCATCAAAACTGTGTGGCCTGCGAAATCTGTGCTTGTGTAAATCCTCAAGGGGCCCTTAAACTCCCTGTCACCACCCACCAGATGTGCAGACACCTTCCTGGACAGGATTGGCAGGTCGATTTCACCCATATGCCCCCCCCATAAGCGAACCAGATATCTTTTCACCTTGGTGGACACCTTTACTGGATGGGTGGAGGCCTTTCCCTCCACCCATAAAACAGCGGACACTGCAGCCACTATCTTAATTTCTGAAATTGTTCGCCGTTTCAGTCTCCCTTCTTCCATTCAATCAGACAATGGTCCCGCCTTCATCTCTAAGGTTGTCCAGCAAATTTGTGAGTCCCTGGACATACAATGGAAACTCCATATTCCCTATAGGCCTCAATCGAGCGGTAAGGTAGAATGTGCCAATCGCCTCAACAAGGATCACGTGACCAAACTTTCTCTTGAAACCCATCAGTCCTGGCCTGACCTCCTTCCCAAGGCTCTCACCTGCATCAGGGCGGCTCCCCACAGCCCTACCTTCCTTAGCCCTTTTCAACTCATGTATGGCTGCCCTTTTCTCATTAATCACCACCTTCCTGCCCAGCCCCCACCACTCACTTCCTATCTTCCTTACCTGTCCCTTCTCCGACAGCTCCTCTGTGCCCATGCCAACAAATAACTGCCTCAACCTCTGGACACTGACCCCAAATATACCCCGCCGGTCCTGCAGCCGGGACACTTGGTCTTCTTAAAGACCCTTCCTCCCAAGCCACTTGAACCTTGGTGGACTGGGCCCCACACAGTCATTTTGGCCACCCCCACTGTTGTCAAGCTACTAGACGATCCTGTCGGGAATCACATCTCACACATCAAAAGGCCCCCATCTCAGGATGCTTCCCCATCCTACTCCTGCCACCCAGTGGGTCCCACTAAACTCCATTTTACATGGACTCCTATATCTTCTAATCCTTCCAACAGCCTCCCCTGACTTGGTCTATGTTTGGAGATTCCAGGTATGCAAAACCCATACCTATAAATCCACCCAAATAACCCATCTAGCTGGCTCTGCTGACTGCTCCCCCCAGGGGTGCCAAATGGCCATTCTCATCCCCCTAAATAACCTCAAAACTCTGGCCCCTCCCCGCCTGGGACGGTGGGGTGGTCTCCTCTGTTTTCTACATGACCAGACCAAGAGTTCCTGTCGAAAGTGGCCCTCAACCTATGGGGGTTGTCCCTACAGCTCCTGTCATCTCCCCCTGGCCACCACTTCCCCCAGTGGCACTCTAATTGTTCAGAAAAATGCCACACGTTTCCTCCTATTCCATCTCTGCATTACTGATCCATGGGATTCGCAGTGGATGGCCAGAGTCATGGGAAAACTCTACTACTCCAAACACTCCTCCTACCCTTCTGGAACTATCCACATCAGCTGTGAATATGTCCTGAGACACCAAACACGGGTCCAGGTCTCCACTAACATTCTACAGGCAGAGCAAACTTTGATAGGACAGCTCTCCCCCTGCCCACAACACTCTCTTCTTTCCTCTTGGCTAGATATCATTCAACACACCCTTGTCTTCCTTAACCTATCACATACCATGATAAACATAGCCCGTTGCTTCCTCTGTGCATCCCTCCAACGGCCTTTACTAGCCGCCATTCCTTTAAACTACTCTGCTCCCCCACAGACCCCATTGACGGGTCCTCCATGTTCAACCTCACTCACTCACATATCCCTTTGAGAACCTGAACCTACAGGCCAATCCTACATAGATCGCGTATGCTTTCTCACTTCCCACACTGACCCCAACTTAAGTCTTCATGGACGCTGCCTTACTAACCATACTATGGCTGCGACCACATCCTCAGCTCCGGGACAGTTCTTCTGGTGTAACGGAACACTCGCCCCCTGCATCAATACATCCACCCCAGGTCCTTGTTTCCCTGTCATGGTGGTCCCTCAGCTGAGCCTGTATGGTGAGTCCGAACTTGGATGGTTACTCCCAGAACCCTGCCCAAGACGAGCCATTTTCCTGCCCATAATGGTGGATCTCAACCTGGCCTCCTCTGTCACCACCTCTGGGCTTGCAGGGGGTGCCTTGGGGCACAGTGTTATCTCTGCACAGGACTTTGCAGACCGGCTACAAATAGCCTTAGAGATCACATCCACCTCCCTGGCATCCTTACAACGGCAGCTGACTTCACTGGTTCAAGTCACCCTCCAAAACAGAAGGGCATTAGACCTGCTGACGGCTGAAAAAAGAGGGACCTGTGTCTTCCTCCGAGAGGAATGCTGCTACTATGTCAACGAGTCAGGCCTCGTAGAACAAAACATAAATAAATTAACCACCCTAAGTGAAGACCTTCACAATCAGAGGCATCAGGATGCCTCCCCTTTCAGCTGGATTCAGTCCCCCCTGGCCACTTGGCTATTACCCCTCATAGGCCCCATTATAATACTTGGTCTAATTTTTCTTTTCACTCCTTGTCTCTTTCAGTTCCTTCAATAGTGCATCCAAGAACTCTCCAGGGTTGCCATCAACCAGCTGCTTCTTCAACCATACTCCCCCCTGCCAGTCACCCCTCCACCAGCTGACTCCGGCCTATAGCCCCTAACTACGACCCCTCACAGCAGGAAGTAGTCAGATAGAGCGACGCCCATTATAACCAAAAAGGCCAGGATGTAAGGCTGGTGGCAGGCACCCCTCCCCCTACCTAAAACTGTAAAAGAAGAGGAACCCGACTGTGCCCACCAAAAATAACTGAACGCGGACGATAAGCCAGACTCAGGCAGTTTTGGTTCCCGGGACTGTGCAGCAGACTCTGTTTCTCGGAACAAGCCAAAACCCTCAGTGGAAAATCCCCAAACCCACTTCACGCAGCATAAAAAGCCCTAGCCCCCTCTGAACGGGCACGACTTCTCTGGCCCCGTTTCTCAGGACCCGTGAACCTCTCCTGGGAGCGCTCACTAAAGCCACATTGTTTGGCCCCCCCTCTGTCTGTCTGTCTTTCTGCTCGCAGCTAAAAAACTTTACAGTATCAAGCGATGAAGCTCTCCTGGAAAGATAGAGAAGAAGTAACGGATCCCAAAAAAACAATTAGAGGAGTTTTCTTCAGAGAGTCAGGCCTGGGCAATGGAGAAAGAGCAATTAGCCCAACTTTTGGAAGAAAAATATTTTCTTCTAGCAGTACAGAATGAGGAAATTGAAAACTTAACACGGAGGCTGGTAACCTCTTTTTCCCTCATATCACAAGAGAAATTAAAGGCTAAAAGAAAATGAAGAGTTACTTGGTGACTTGGCAAAATTAACAAAATGAAGGACTTAAACTATGCAGATGGATTTCAAATGCCAACAACTGTAACAGCAAGAACACATAAGCCTGCTGTAATTGTATTAGGAGAAATCGATGAATGTGAGTTCTTTTTCAAGTGGATCTACTTGTAGTTATAAAATTATAAAAGCCTCTTTATGACGAGAAGCTAATTATAACTTAGTCAATGTGATGAACATGTTTTTAAAATAAAGTGTGTAGTCCCCGCAGCAGTGAAGCTGGAGCTGGAGCTATTGCCGCCCGTCAGGCCACCACATCTTGTAGCGTCCCAGGGCTGCGCAAGGCTTCTCCTGGAGGCGCTGCTGGGTTGGCTGTGAGGCACAGGTTTCCTAAAAGAAAATAATGGAGGAATCTGTAAACCAAATGCAACCACTAAATGAGAAGCAGATAGCCAGTTCTGAAGATGGATATGTATGGCAAGTCACTGACATGAATCAGCTACACTGGTTCTTGTGTTTTGGTTCTGAAGGACTTGCAATTGTTACCAAATATATTACAAAGGGCTGGAAAGAAGTTCATGAATTGTATAAAGAAAAAGCACTTTCGGTGGAGACTGAAAAATTATTAAAGTATCTGGAGGCTGTAGAGAAAGTGAAGCGCACAAAAGATGAACTGGAAGTAATTCCTCTAATAGAAGAACATAGGTAAGTTAGAGAACATCTTCTGACAAATCACTTAAAGTATAAAGAGGTATGGAAGGCTTTGTTACAAGAAATGCCTCTTACTGCATTACTAAGGAATCTAGGAAAGATGACTGCAAATTCAGTGCTTGAACCAGGAAATTCGGAAGTATCATTAGTTTGTGAAAAACTATGTAATGAAAAATTGTTTAAAAAGGCTCGTATACATCCATTTCATGTTTTAATTGCATTAGAAATGTACAAGAAAGGTTATGGGCTCAGAGGAAAACTGAAGTGGTGCCCTGATGAAGAAATTTTGAAAGATTTGCATGCTGCTTTTTATAAAACATTTAAGACAGTTGAGCCAACTAGAAAGCGTTTCTTACTAGCTGTTGATGTCAGCGCTTCCATGAACCAGAGTTTTAGGCAGCATCCTCAATGCTAGTACAGTTGCTGCAGCCATGTGCATGGTTGTCACACAAACAGAAAAAGATTCTTATATAGTTGCTTTTTCAGATGAAATGGTACCATGTCCACTGACTACAGATATGACCTTACAACAGGTTTCAATGGCTATGAGTCAGATCCCAGCAGGTGGGACTGATTGCTCTCTTCCAATGATCTGGGCTCAGAAGACAAACACAGCTGCAGATGTCTTCATTGTATTCACTGATAATGAGACCTTTGCTGGAAGTGTCCATCCTGCTATTGCTCTGAGGGAATATCGAAAGAAAATGGATATTCCAGCAAAATTGATTGTTTGTGGAATGACATCAAATGGTTTTACCATTGCAGATCCAGATGATAGAGGCATGTTGGATATGTGTGGCTTTGATACTGGAGCTTCGGATGTAATTCAGAATTTCGCATTAGATGTGATTTAACCATAAGCACCAGCATGATCTTAGAGGTCCATTGCCATTAGTGATCTCACTAAAAATATGCAGCTACTTCCCAGCTAATCTCAATCTAAAGATGATGATATAGTATGTGCACAATGGAAAGTTACCTTACCAAAAAAAAAACAAGAGCCCAAAGTTCTTTCTACTAAACTAGCTCTTGGGAAATATCTTCAGGATACTGTAGCTTCCTCTATCTAATGGAGAATTTTTTGTTAATAGACAATGTGAAATAGTTTTGCTTTGGTGAATAATATATTTGTACTTAAAAGAGGTGAGAGCCAAAAGTGTAATTCCATATCATGTCACTTGTTTGAGAAGTGCTTACATTTTCTTAAATGTTTTCATTGGGAAGGACAGCTTTGATAATGTCCAAATACTCTGAAAGGCACTAGACCATGTACTATGATGGAATATGAAACTCATCTGTAAACTTTTATACTAAGAGGTAAAAAAAAAAAAAAAAGACATTTGATTAAATTATGAATGAATTTTACATATTCCTTTCAGAGTTTCTAAGATCACATAAATAACAGCTTTCTTATTCAATGAAAAAGATACTTTATTTCTAATGTTTTATTTGCACTTGTAGAATGTTACCATTAACCAGAAATATAATGGCGGCCCCTAAGAAGAGACTATTTGTGTTGGCTGAGGAATTCTATTTGTTTTACTTTTTTGTTTTGTTGTATTTTATCTCAGTGAGTGAGGGGTGTGATTTGACAGTGATTTATAGCCAGATAGTCACCAATTCCTTTTTTTCATACTCTTAAATGAAAATAACATAAAATGTTTTAAGCATTTAAGTCTCCCATTCTAATCTTGAAAGTATAACAATTAAGGTATTAACTATAACTAGATTAGCTTTTTCCTTACTTTCAAAATAAAAGTTGTTTCAATTACTCTTAACTATTTTTGTAGTCAATAGTAAAGGAGTTTTAGACATTTTCTAATCGGAAACATGTCAATGGCCTCCTATCTCTTTGTTCATGATTCATTTTGTGGCAAAACATTCTCTTTTGATAGAAGAAATAAAGCAATCTAGGTCCTTCAGGTTTGAAAGGCAATTTCTGAGTAGCATATTACCAATTAATCAGTCTGTCAGACATTTTTTTCAATTTTATTTGTGTGTATTAAACTTTTTTCATTATTTAAAAAAAATTAAATTAAATTAAATTAAAAAAAGAAATAGGAATGCTGACCCTCTTTTTATGAGGATAGCGTAACCTTGATACAGGTCAATTTTGCTCAAATCTATAGATGCTTTGAAAACTTATATCCACTCAAAAAAAAAAACTGCATATGGATGTTTATATCAGCTTTATTCATAATTGCCAAAACTTGCAAGCAACCGAGATGTGAATGGATAAATCAACTGTGGCACATCTAGATAACGGAATATTATTCAGTACTAAAAAGAAATGAGCTATGAAGCCATAAAAGGACATGGAAGAACCTTAAATGCATATGACTGAGTGAAAAAAGCCTACCTGAAAAGGCAACATACTGTATGATTCCAACTCCATGACATTGTGGAAAAGGCAAACCTATGGAGACAATAAAAAGATCAGTGGTTACCAAGAGTTGGAGGAGGTGGAAAGGAATAGGCAGAGCACAGAAGATTTTTAGGGCAGTGAAAATATTTTGTACACCATAATAGTGGATACATGTCATTATACACTTGCCCAAACCCATAGAATGTGCAACACAAAAAGTGAACTCTCATGTAAACTGTGAAGTTTAGATGACTATGATGAGTCAATGTAGGTTCATCACTTGTAACAAATGTACCACTCTGGTAGGGAATGTTGATAATGAGAGAGGCTGTGCATATGTAAGAGAAGAGTATATAGGAAATTTCTGTACCTTCTTCTCAATTTTGCTATGAAGCTAAAATTGCTCTAAAAAAACAAAGTCATAAAAAACTATAGATGTAAAAATTCTAAACAAAATTTTAGCTCAGTGATATAAAAAGATAATATATCGTGGCTAAATTATTCCAGGAATACATATTGACAACTAAAAAATATATAGAAAAAAATTAGCC